TTTTCATCATGGACAAATAATCTATCCGGTAACTTCAGGCAGCCATGAAATTGGATGGAAAACGTCCCTCAAAAACGTACTCCAAAGAAATGTTTTTGAGTTCAGATGTTATAAAAAAAACGCTCCAGAGTCCCTTATTTTGAATGTTAAAGGACCGAACTAGAGGGTAGAGTAAAATACGATAGACACACTTAGTATCTGATTTGAGAAAATAAGCTTTGATGCCTGTCATGACGACCTGTTAAATTTCAAGTGAAAATAAAATTTGAAATCGAAAATGAAAAATGTCAACTTATTATCCCACCCGGTACTCGAATCACAGGCGAGATGTATGTGAAACTACTGCAAGATTTACCCATGGTACAACTCATGGATAATGTTGATGAAGCATTGGTTGCCCAATGTATAATCGTAAATTTTATTGCGTTATTGGCCTTGTTTCATAATCCACCGAACACAAAGGCATTTCAATGTCTAATGAAAGAGAAGATATCGGCATGGGCTACTGAATTTCAAAAAATGTTTGGAAAAATGTTTGTTACTCCTTATCTTCATGTGCTCTCCAATCACAATGTGGCGTTTCTTGAAAAAGACGATAGTCACGATGTAAATGCATATAATCTAAAAGGTGTCGAAAAGTTAAACGATATGATAACCACAGACTTTTATCGTTGTACAAATAAGAAGAACGACACCATAGCGCAAATGTTTCGTCGTCGTTATCGGTTACTCTATTTAAACGTGGAAAAAACCGATAGTTTAAACTGTTTGTTAAGAAACATCCATACTGTACCATCTAACATTGATTTCATACTGTATGAGGATGATGTCTGGATGATTCCTATAGTTGTGAATATCTTATGAAAAGTTCAAATTTTTCTTTCCTAAACTTATAAATACCCATAATGTCGCTGAATTAAGAAAGACGGACTAGATAAAAATTTGTCCATATAACAATAGTATATAAATAGGATCAAAAGGAACCACTATTATTTTTCCCAGATATGGTATGGATAACAAAACAGTCGAAAGATCAAGAAAAATTGTTTACAATATTTTTTTCTGAAGGTGACAAATTAGAAAACATAATGTGGACACTAAAATCTTCTTGACTCTTCAAGAACTTGACTTCCTATCCACACTAAAGATAATAACAAACAAGATGACAAAATGTATAACCTCGAAATTGATAGTATCAAGCTTTTAGTCTATGGCGAATGAAAAAATGACTAAAACTGTCGTCTAAAAGTGATTGTATTGGTCGACATATGTTTATGTTATTTCAGAGAGAAAAATATAACCAGACACTTATTGTCTATGACGAATCTGAAAATCGATGAAGACCATGATCAAAGCTCGCTTTGGTCAACGAGGAGAAACGTCTAGTCAGGAGTAGAATATTAGTTGTTTCTAAAAGCCATCCAGGTCTAAGATATATTTGTCGGCTACTCAAGCCTTGTTCATGTAATCGCAGTATCACCTTTTGAAGGTCGTCACTTTTCATGATTTTTCGAACAAATGGAAAATATATTTTATCTACAACACTTACAGATTTGTAGAGCGGAAAATTCTGTATCGATTGAGCATAAAATGATTATCTGCAACCACAGTGAAGAGGACCAAAAAAACAGAACAAAAGTGGCCGGTTTTATCTGGCCCACCCGTTATATTACTTGCAACACATTTAAATTCTTCATAAATATCTTTTTCATAAAAAAATATATTTATCCTGTTTTTGATTTTCAGTTTCAGTTATTTCTTTTCATTATCTAGTTTATCTTGATGAAGCCTGATATATAGATTTGATCGAGATAAAAATGTCACTAACAGGATAAGCATAATATGTCGACGTAACAGTGTGGCGTGCTGTATCCTAACTATGTGTTTATCGCAGTAAGACTACAAGCAGACTATCGGAACACATTGAAATAAAAAATATTATCTTAATCAGCTGCGACATTAAGATAATCTTGATAAATACTGCAACTAACTCGACACTCAAAGCATCTGGGTTTAGCGCTATAGAACTTAAGAAGATGTATCAGGGTACAGTATACATCACGTGATAAACAGCATAGTCATCCCGATCAGCAATTTGCATACATAGATCGAAACTCATTCGTACCTGGATAAAAACAAGGTATGAATTTCTATTGCGATACACGTGGTCTTTCTGGCGATAGGCATTGATTCATCGCTACAGTGAGCTATGTCTCTTATCGCCATCTACTTCAGCATTTTTTTATCTAGATGAGTGAAAGCGTTATCTGCATAATAATTCTGTCTCGATATAGCGTAATAAAATTTCAACTAGCTATATCGAAATACCAATTTTTATCCCAATAGGTAGGTAGCTTATTCCGACAACGTATATAGCATGACATATCGAAGTAGATCTATTAGATCTCGATAGTGAATTTATCGCAATAAATATGATAAGTATCGTGATATTGCCAATTTTTTCCACCAATATCGAGTTATATCGCCCGATAGTTGCTTAAAAAGTCCTCATGGGATAACTTATTATTATGATTAAAAGTATCCTTTTAGATAACTAACAGAAAGATATATTCAAATAACTTCACACTTTTGTGTATTAATCTTGATTGCAAAATCATAAAATTCTCTTTCTTCACATAACATATGCTATAGCCCATCCTGCTTCGAAGAGGAAGGACGTTACTCGGAATACCCGCGTCCTTAAAAAGTCAAAAAAGTTCCTTTTTTCATTTCACTTTTGCATCGCTTAATACGTTATTTTAGAAAAACAAAAAAAAACACAAGATGCAGCGTGCAAAAACACTACTACTTTCAAAGTAAAGCTTATTTTAATTGTGTACTTTTTGTTTTCAAGAAAAGCAAAATCCGGTGTAATCAATTTTTGACATGACGAAAAAGATCATTTTATTCTATGCGACGAGAAATTCGTTTTTCCTTATTCACCTTTTTACCAACTAGTAGACTTGTCAAAGCTAAACAAAATACGCCACACGATGCAGCGTGCAATGCTCTACAGTTTACATAGCACAATTCATTGAAATAAGAAAGAGAATCACTCAAAAAAAAAGTGTACAAAAGAATCACAAAAAGAATATCACAAGATACAGCGTGAAAAGCCCTACAATCTATAACGTAAAGTTTTCTCTTTTTCTTTTTTACATATCATCGAACACTTTGTTCCTCGAATATGTTTATAATACGGTGACAATTTAAATAATTTGGTACTGCACCTAAGGGTAAAGCAAGTTTAGCTTCGCAGTCATATTTAATATGACATAAGAGACTTGAATTCTGTATATTAACTTTCAAATACTCACAAGTTAAAGCTGATGTAGTCAAAATTTTTACTAAAAAAACAATTATTTTAGACTGTAATAACATTTGACACTATGAAATGACAATTAAAACATGTTTAAGTACTTGGAGAATGATCGAGATAGAAAAGCTTTTTCAGCGTTTATCCTCATACTTTCAACAAAAACGCGCCTTGCAAACAATGTCGTTCGATACAACATGAAATTCTACATCGAATAGAGTATATTACAGTGTAGTCACATTTGACAGTATGCAATGACAAGTAAACTACGTTTAAGCAATTAGACAATAATCGAGATAGAAAAGCTTTTTGAGCGTTTACCCGCTTATTTTCACGAAGATCGCGCATTGGAAACAATGTCCGAATAGAGTATTTTAGAGTGCAAAAACATTTGATAGTGTGGAATCACACTTAAACTACGTTTAACAACTTTGACAATATTCGATGCAGAATTTCATGTTGTATGATTTTTTGAGTGATTCTTTTTCTTATTTCAATGAATTGTGCTATGTAAACTGTAGAGCACTGCACGCTGCATCCTGTGGCGTATTTTGTTTAGCTTGGACAAGTCTACTAGTTGGTAAAAAGGTGAATAAGGAAAAACGAATTTCTCGTCGCATAGAATAAAATGATCTTTTTCGTCACGTCGAAAATTTTATTTTGCTTTTCTTGAAAACAAAAAGTACACAATTAAAATAAGCTTTACTTTGAAAGTAGTAGTGTTTTTGCACGCTGCATCTTGTGTTTTTTTTTGTTTTTCTAAAATAACGTATTAAGCGATGCAAAAGTGAAATGAAAAAGGAACTTTTTTGTCCGTAGGATACTTTATGAGCAGTCATGTCTAGTATATAATGGTTGTCTGCTTCAAATTTCACGTTTCGCATAAATTTTCGAACATATTTAGTCGATCATTTTGTTTCATACACAACGTTGTTCTAATGAAACGAGTTTATATATGTGTTTTACTTTAGATAGATGGCTGATAAAAAGAAAATATGATGAACACTTTTCATCAAATCAAAAATTCAAAATAGTTGTCAATAATTCTGCAGAAAATCGATTTAGAGAAAGCATAAACCTTGACTAACGACATGCTCTATGTCGCGTCCTAGTTCAGTCATATCAAAGAAAAACGTCGAAGCACGATTAAATTAATTTTAAAAAAGTTTCTTCTTCTCCTGTGGTATGGAGTGTTTTTGATGGTCTAGTTTTAAAATAGTCAGACTTTGTGAGTTTCATATTTCGACCCCAAAAGAACATGCACTCAGAAGTTTTTCAATGGAAAATCTATCTTGAATTATTTTCAGTATCTGAACATTTTATTTTTTAGCCCATATTTAGCTCTCATTCGTATTTTCACACTTCATTTTTTATTTTATTAATCGAAACAACTATGCACATATACTTTCAAGTTCATCCTTAACTGTTCTCCTTTTTTAAGTCTTTCTTTGCCTATGATAAGTTGCAGTTGAACACAACGAGTTCCATTAATGATGTACTATTTTTGATCATTTGAAGAAAAGGACTGACACTTCCATCAGTCAACAATGTGTTTTCTCTGAGATTGAGCACTTGAAGAGTTGTATTGTAGATTTGACTTTCATTAGCCAATATTTGAACTCCTTTATCGCTTATTTGATTCTGCCATAGCCACAACTCAGTTAAACTTTTATTTGTTTTGATAATGACAGAGATAGTTCACAGCCACATCAGTAACTCCATTATGTCCAAGTCCAAGTATTTTAAGAGTATTATTATTTGATAACGGTTCAACAAGAGAATGAATACCAACATTTTGACGGTCTTGATGATGAAAATGATGACGAAGAAATTGACCCAGATCTAGAGGAATCAGAAGACGATTTTCAAAACACCGAGGCTGCTGTGGAAGAGATAAAAATATTGGAAAACATATTTCTTAGTGCTAAGACAGCACTTGATTCTTCTTCATATAGCATTGATCAGAAATAGTTTTGTCTGCTATATTGAAGAAGTCAAAAGAAACTATGAAGTGGACACGGGTATACCGAATAATGTCCATATAAAAATTGTAGAATGTACACGGGTTTCCCGAATAATATCTATTAAAAAATTATGAACATGTTTGCTGGAGTGCGGGTACTCCGAGTAACACTCACAACCAAGAAGGATAGGGGCGGGGGTATTCCGAGTAACGTCCTTCCTCTTCGAAGCAGGATGGGCTCTACGTGCCAAAGAGGAGAAACATGGAAAACATTTTTCTGATCCGTGACCAACAATCCTGCACTTCTCAAACAATAGATAACGAACTGTATAAAAACTGAAATGATATATGTATAGGACATATACTCATCGAAATATATAATATCTATATGGAAAATGCTTAATAAAAATTCCAGTTTTCAACAGAAAAAAATATGCATAATAATTTTTTTCTAAAAATGCTGTCGACAAAGATTATTTCGGGTTTCTTCGCTGGAGGTAGATTGCAAAATTCCAAGACCTCGTGCATGTATATTTGATCTGCCAGTTGTAACCGATTCATTACAATTATAATGTAAGAGCACAGTCCCAAAACTATTTCTCGTCAAAGAACTTCAATAGCTCTTTTGTCGTCTAGGTCATCGTTTTTTGTTGGTGTATCAGCACCGGCTGTGTCGATGAAAACCAAGTTTTTACTAGCCTCTCTTGGTCCCACAATTGATATACCATTAGTGGATATTAATCGATCGGTAGGAAAATGGGTCTTACAAAGGTTGGAACATTTTTCATTCGCACGTATCCCGACTCTAGTAAATGATATAGGCGTGAATATTTTTTATAAGATGGACTATGAAGACTTCTATAAAAATTTGACGATTGAATTCCTTTTTACTCGTTCTAATAGTTTATTTTACTTAAAATGAACAATCTACATGAGTGTCATCCAATCATATTGAAAATGCTTAAAACAGAACATTTTTCTAATTCGTCATTGAAATTGTTTTCTTAGATCAAGACATACATAAAAAGAAAAACGTCTTCTCAAGATAAAAATAAAAAACGTTCACCTCGGACGATAGCAACGTTCTTTTCCATTTCAGCGGTGCAGTTGTTCTCATTACAGCCAGCCAATTCGACTAGAATTTTTAGATAATCATTAGTCTTATATTGTCGATAACGAGGCTTCCGTTTTTCACTACCAGCTGAAACAATTCCGACTAAATAACCGCGCTGGTCATACAGTAACCTAGGTGATACTGAAAGCGAAGAACCATGTTGCTTGCGATGCTCCAGTGACATATCTTTTAGTTCAGAAAGTACAATATATTGCTCACTCTCATGTTTTATGGCTTGTATCTTTGATATGTCAGTGTTAGAATCATTATTCGACGAAAGTAATTGTGGAAGTTTTCCATTAATACGAATTAAGATTTCGTCAAAAATGCAAACGCTTTCCCTGCGTGATAGATCTCCTTGTAAGATATATATTAAACCATCGAATGTTCGATCATTCCAGATGTTTCCTGCAGGAGAACCGCCTTGTGCCATAATGAAATGGCCTATGGTTGTCTGGTTGACTGTTGAGCAATACATAATGACGTCTTTATCCCTTTTACCATTGCGTCGTTGTAACGTTGTAAATTTAGCCCCCAAAATATCTTGAATTTCGTTTCCGATAACAGTTTGTACGTCAATTTCATTATTCAGATCCAACAAGTTGTGGACAAAGATTATTTTGGGTTTCTTCCCTGGTAGCTTATTGCAAAATTCCAACACCTCGTGCATGTATATTTGATCTGTCAGTTGTAATCGATTCATTACAATTATAATGTAAGAGCACAGTCCCAAAACTATTTCTCGTAAAAGAGCTTCAATAGCTCTTTTGTCGTCTAGGTCATCTTTCTTTGTTGGTGTATCAGCACCGGCTGTGTCGATGAAAATCAAGTTTTTACTAGCCTCTCTTGGTCCCACAATTGATATACCATTAGTGGATATTAATCGACCGGTAGCAGGTAGCAATTTCGGTTCTACAAAGCTTGTTTAACAGATAGGTTTTCCCACGGTTATACGAGCCAAGTATACCAACTAATAAACTGTTTTCATGCTTCTGCTTTAATTTCTCTGCTGAATCATCTGATGTATCAGCTGTCGTAATTTTCCAGCCATCTTTCAGTAAATCATCAAGTTTCTCAATGTGAATGATAGTGTCATATAATAGGGTATTCGAAGATCTATGGGCACCTAGCCACGTCATACCCTTGTGCAAGGCGCCCGAATTCTAGAAAGTAATCTGTATTAATGTAGTGTCTTATTTATGCGTCAACAGAAAGCAACATTGTTTGGATTCCTTCGTAAACATTTTTTATTCTTCCTGATAAGAGAAAAGTATGTTGTAAAAATATTACGACATTTATTTCTTTTTCTTTTTCTGACTTCAAGTTGGGAAAAAATCTACTCTTAAAAATACCCTAGAAAATGTTTGCGAGAAATAAAGAGTGTACGTGAGATCAGATTAGGGTTAAAAAATAATCCAAAGCTGGGAAAACGCGTTGCGAAGCACGCTTAACACATTGGGCACGATTCAGTTTTCTTATAAAATTTCTTCAAGATGCCATTTTCATGAATAGTTCACTTCTGATAAATGCATTTAATGACTCTTTCGTTATCTTCTACTGATTATTGATCGTTCTCTTTCTTGTATTACCACATAATGAATCAGTTTTTGCAAATAACTAGAATTGTTTGAGTCAGTTTTTCGTTCTGGAAAAAACCAATAAAGTGAATGAACGCATCACGAAGCCGCAAGTTGTTCTCGATTACTATGAGGGCAGACAAGGTACTGATTTATCAGATCAACTGTCAACATATCATACATGTCTGAGACGGTCAATAAAATGGTATAGAAAGGTAGCATTTGAATTGATATTTGGAACTGCAGTGGTTAATAGTTATCTGATTTACAAGGAAAATTATGCGGCAAGCAACATATAGATTTTACAGTTTCGAGAAAGTCTTGTACGATCTTTACTCCTTGGTGCGTCAATCGAGAAGCTGAAACCTGGTCCGATACAACAATCAGCAAGTCATTCCAAGCGCAAACTCGCTGATCATAAGCTCGAAGAAAAGGAAGGCTCTACGCGCAATGTTGGCAGACGATGTACTGGCTGTTATGCGAAGGGAAGGACACAATACTCAAGAGAAGCGAGCTATGCGACAGCAAAAAAAGTGAAAACTTTCTGTTCTGACTGCGAGAAGTTTTTCTGTCTAGAGTGTTTTAATGAGAAACATTATCCTATGGAATAAAGGGCGCACATATAGAACTGAACGCAAAAGAACAGACACTTGATGATTTTAATCTCGCACCTAAGAAAAAATCGAAAGAAAGTGTTTTCCTATACAGTTACTCGTTAAATCATAGCGTGGCCCACCGGTGGGCCACATCGTGCCCAATGTGTTAACGTGAATGGACTCAGCGCAAAATGTCACGCATTGGAGAACAAATAAATGCAATTAGATGCAGTTATGGATGTCGACGAGAATATCAATTCAAATGATCATATGTCCGATTATGATGAACAAGAACAAAATTCAGAAGAACAGGAAGATGCCAATGATGATGATTGTGATGACGAAGACGACGACGACGACACAACTGATCAAGACAAGAAGAGTGATGATGATACACTTTATGAAATTACCTATCAACAACAAGAAGCAATGGAAAAGCTATCGAATTTGTTTCGAATGCTGAATTCGAGCCCAATTCATGACCAGTGAGTAGATAGATCCCATCAAGTTCTTGAAGTATGTTTTTATTTTCAAGCTCCAATGTAGTTCCAATTCGTCGTCAAGTCGACCAGGTGTACACAAACCTTCAGCAAATGTGCGATGTTCTTGAAGGACAAATGGATAAGTCGATACAAACTAATCCTCATGAACTTCGGGTTGAAGAATCCTATGAATTGATTACTGGATTGAAGAAATTATTCAATGAGAGCAGTCCAGCTGAGCAGGTTGACCATTGCCCCGAAAAACTGAGGTCGTAGAAAAAAACAGAAAATAATCAAATAGAACCACCGTTCAGGTGGACCCGATTCACGCACCATCGTTCAGTTTTTTTATTAGGTTTCAATCAACAGAGCGTCATGCATGTCAGGTGGTTCAGCTTTGAGACAACAACCAAGTCCTCACCTTTCCTCAATATCTTCGTGGCAACACGTCAATCTCTGAAGAAACAATCACTACTGCCATCGAATTCTATCAAGAAGATGGCATCAGTCGCATTTCAGCAAATTCAAACGATGTCATTGAAATCAAGAAGAAACTAGTTGCTGTTCGTTTCATGGAAATGACTGTCCTCGAAGCTTTTCGAGAGTTCGACAGACGGCATCCTGATCTCGTTGGACGCTCCACCTTCCATTCACTTCGACCTCGAAACGTTAAGATTGTCGCACCTCACGAAACATGCATGTACATTTATCACGAGAATATGCATTTGCTACTTCCCTCACCGTCACCTGTGTTCAAAATACTTAGAGGTGGTAGCAAGAATAAAAAATCGTATGTACAACAATGACTAGTGAGTTAAAGAAGTTGAAGGTGTACATTAATAATACTCAGGGAAGCCAAGAGTATAGTAAGATGATTCTTGAGAAAATGATTGCGAACAAGTACGATCTATGTGTTATTAGTGAACCTTATTGGAACACTCACAAATTTGTCCCACCTCAGTACAATTACATAATTAAAAACACCTATGTCGAGTGCAATGGTCTCATGTTATGTTACAAAAATGATTTAAAAATATGTCGATTACACGGCCATTCCACGCGTACCAGCCAAAAAACGTAAGTCCGTTACGTTTTGTGAAAGTCATAGCTCTTCAGCCGAGCAACATACACAGTTGGGGAACGCCTTATTTTGTAGCTTAAAGATTTTTCT